CTCCAGATTGATTGTAAGCACCATCAAAATTGTAATAGCACTTTTCCACAGAAATGGAAAAACAATCCTAAATTTTGTATGGAACCACAAAATACCTGAAATCAAACCAAACCAAAGCAATCTTGAGAAAGAAGAACAAAGGTAGAGTCAATGTACTTCTTGATTTTGAATTATACTACAAAGCTATATTAATCAAAATAGTATAGTGGGAGATACTGAGGAATGAAATTGACTAAATTATGTTGTGCGAATGTACAAATATCTAACAACAAATCCCACTGTTACATGTAATTATAACACACCAATAAAAAATTTTAAAAAATAGYATGGTACTGTCAAAAAGCACATATATGAACCAATGAAACAGAATAAAGAGCCTCGAAATAAACCCCCAAATACAGGTTATTCTTTGCCAAGGGCACAAAAGTATACAATGGGGAAGAGGAAATCTCTTCAATAAATGAATAATATTTAAAAAACTGGATATCTACATCAAAGGAGTGAAAATATACCCTTATATAACACAAAAAAATTAACTTGAAATGCGTTAAAAACTTATTAAGACCTGAAATCATTAAACTCATAGAAAATAATATAGGGAAAAAGCTCCTTTACTTTGGTCTTGCCAACAATTTTTCTGAATATGAAACCAAAAGCACAGGCAACAAAGGCAAGAATAAATAAGTGAGGATATATGAAACTCAGGAAAGCAAGAAAAATAAATAATAATCAAGTTAGAAAGGAAGAATTGTATAGCAAAGGAACCAATCAACAAAATGAAAATGCAACCCACAGCATGGGAGAAAATATTTGCAAGCCATATTATCTGATAAGGGGTTAATATCCAAAACATATAAGGAATTTATAGAACTTAATAGCAAAAATATAAATAACCTGATTAAAAATGAGCAAAGGACCTAAGCAGACATTTCTCCAAAGAAAACATACAAAGGGACAACATATATATGAAAACACACTAAATATTACTGATCATCAGAAAAGTACAAATCAAAATCTGAGCTATCATCCCACATCTGTCGGACTGAGTACTATCAAAAACATAAGACATAACAAGTGTTGAGGGTATGGAGAAAAAGGAACTCTTGTGTACGGTTGGTGGGAGTGAACAGGAATGATAGAAAACTGAATGGCGGTTCCTCAAAAAATGTTAAAAGTGAAAAGACAAGGTGGTGGTGTACACCTATAATCCCAGCTACTCAGGAGGCTAAGGCAGTAAGATCAAAAGTTTAAAGCCTGGGCAACTCAGTAGTGAGAACCTGTCTCAAAAAATCAACCAAACAAGAACCACAAAGGGCTGGAGATATAGTTCTGTGGAAAAGTACTTGCCTCGCATGTGCAAGGCCCTGAGTTTAATCCCCGGTACTACAAAAATAAACAAAAGGGAAATAAAATACCAAAATAGAATTGTCATTTGACCCAGCAATCCCAAAGGAAATACAATCAGTATCTTGAAAAGATATCCACACTCACATTGTTGCAGCCTTATTCACAACAGTTAAGATATGGAAATGAAGTGTACAGACATGGATGAACAGAGAAAGAAAATGTGATACACACACATACAGACACACAAAATTGGATACTATTCAGCCAGACAAAAGAGGAAATCTTACATTTGTGACAAGGATGCACCTAAAGGATATTATGCTACATGAAATAAGCCAGATACAGAAAGAAAAGTATGTGTGATCTCATTTGTGTGGAATCTAAAAAACCTGAACTCAGAAGTAGGGAGTAGAATGATTGCCAGAGTTGGAGGGTAGGGGAAAATGGGAAGATCTTGATCAAAGGGCACTAACTTTCACTTATAAGATGAATAAATTCTAGTGATCATGATTCATTTAATGAATAAATTCATTGATATGAATCATGTCATCTATAGTTAATACTGTATTGTCAGTTAATACTATATCGTATAATCACTTGAAATTTGCTAAGAATATTGATTTTAAGTGTTCTCACCACACATACACACACCTACAAAACTATGTGAGTTGAATGGATGTGTTAATTCACTACATATATTATATATTACATATGCATATATGTACATATACATACACATAAAGAAAGGTAGACTGCTCTGTTGAACGAGAGGTCTGATGTTGATAATAAAAAAATAACAAAAATGATAGGTATTACTGATATTTGTTAAGCATCTACTTTGCTTTACTTTCAGATACTCACATACATTCTCATTTATTGATATGCACTGCCAAATGTTTTCCAGAAAGTTTGTGCCAAATTATACTCACATCTGTAGTATAAAATAAGAACAGAATCACTGCATGCTTATCACTGTAAAATGTTTCTTTTGATAATCTGATAGACAAAAATAGAATATAGTAGTTTAATCTGCATTTCTTTGATTACTAGTGATGTTGAGCATTTAAAAAAATAATTTTAAGATTTTAAATTACCTTTAGGGACTTGTATATCCATGTCCTTTTATTCTTACTGATTAGAAAGTAAGCAATCCCACTTCTGGGTATATATTCAAAGGAAATAAAATCAATTTTATTTCTTCTAAAAATTCCACATATAAATGAGATCACACATACTTTTCTTTCTTTGTCTGGCTTATTTCATGTAGCATAATATCCTTTAGGTGCATCCTTGTCACAAAAGTTAAATTTTCTCTTGTCTGGGTGAATAATATCCAACTGTGCGTGTGTGTGTGTGCGTGTGCATGTGACATTTTCTTTATCTGTTCATCCATGTCTGTACACTTAAATCATTTCCATATCTTAACTATTGTTAATAAGGCTGCAACAATCAGGAGGGTGTGGATATTTCCTTTGGATATATATCTAGAAGTGGGATTGCTGGGTCATATGACAATTCTTTTTTTTTTTTTAAGAGAGAGAGAGAGAGAGAGAATTTTTTAATATTTATTTTTTAGTTTTCGTCGGACACAACATCTTTGTTTGTATGTGGTACTGAGGATCAAACCCGGGCTGCACGCATGCCAGGCAGCGTTCTACCCCTTGAGCCACATCCCCAGCCCGACAATTCTATTTTAATATTTTTATTTCCTTTTTGTTTGATTTTGTAATACCGGGGATTAAATATGCTAGACAAGTACTTTACTTGATGTGTTAACACATTAAAACTGTTTGACATATATTTACAAATAATTTTTCCCATATTGGCATCGTGTTTTCTTTGACATGTAAAAATTATAAATTTTTATATAGTCAAATCATTCAATTCCTTTGTAAATTGTACCAATTTTTTCATTTATAAGGCTTTTCTTTATCTCTACACCAATGAAATATTCACTTGCATTTTTTTCTAGTTTCTTTATGGTGCTTTAAAAATACATTTTAATTTTCTTTGTTGTAGGAAACAAGTCTATAGTCTTTTTTTCATATAGTTAATCATGTCTCCTTCACTATTAATTGAATGAGGTTTCTTTTAAACACTGATTTATGATGCCACCTTTATTTTCTAAAGAATTCTTAAAATACATGGTTATGCTTATGAGCTCTGTAATCTCTTTCATTGCCTGTTAGTTTGGCTGCTAGTACCACACTTTCTTTGATTACTAACTTCTATTCATTCATCAACCACCACATTCGCCTTCTGGAAGCTTCCCAGATTCTTCCAAAAAGATAACACTGCTCTCCAAATAGAGAATTGCCTTTATCAGGTACAACATTTTGCCCTATAAACACAGTTAATAGTATTGATCTTTTCCAATTACATTCTTTTTTTCAATATTTTTTAGTAGATGGACACAATACCTTTATTTTAATTTATTTATTTTTATGTGGCGGCTGAGGATGGAACCCAGGACCTCACATATGCAAGGTAAGCGCTCTACCACTGAGCTATAACCCCAGTCCCCTCCRATAACATTCTTGAGGGCAGGTAAGAGTTGCACAATGCACAACAAATGTGCATTAAAATTTAAATTAGTGGAATTTGGGTTAAAAGTTAGTCATGACCGAAYAGTTCTAGTTTAAGGGGGAAAACGAAAAGAGACAGTTCTTTCATTTATTTCAACAAACATCACTGTGCTGTCCCTTATGTAAGGATTGTACGGTTAAGTGAACTTAGTCTCTGCTCTAGGTAGCTCAGTAATTACAGAAAAGACAAATAAATATATGCAATTAAATGCAGTATGACTAACTAACTAAGCATGGACAAGGAGAGAATGAGGAAAAATCAAGTGAGTAGTGGGCAGTGTTTCAAAGAAGTGGGCATAAATACAAGGCGGGTTCATGGTCACCCACAAACTTCAAGAGAACTTGCAATTAATCTTAACGACAAGGTGCACCAATTTACATTAATTTGTCCTTCATTCTGTAAACTCCTCCAGGAAGCCTGGCGTTTAGGTAGGATGGGCAAGCCGAACAGACACGTCTGGGAGCATTGTGTGGGCGCTGGTCGACACAAAACTTACATGGCTAGAACAGAGCGGAGTTCTGTGTGTGACGGGATGGAAATCAGACGACGGGGACAAGATAGAAACCTTTACCTGTCAGGCTTCTCATCTGCAAGCCACTCACTTTTTGTTGGTTTAAAGGCAATACACGCTAACTAGGGGCCCTGTTGGAAAAGTGAGCACAGTTCCAGGCACAATTCTAGTCTTCCTGCTCCGCCCCTAAGTTCGGGCCAGATGTTAACGCAAGAACTGACGTCACGTAAGCGTGGCCTCATCAGCACAACGCAGGCTCACAGGGCGGGGCGTCTAGCTCACGTCAGAACGCGGTCGGCTCCACGCAGCAGCGAATTAGCTGCCTTCCATAATAGAAGGCCCGACCGGTCAGAATTCCGCCGAAGCGCYGAAGGCGCTCAGGGGCGGTTAACCTCCCTCCTTTCCTTGGCTTTCACGTGCATCCTCTCTGAGGTCCGGGAGCGACCTGGGCGGCGACGCGCTCTGCAACCCGCCGCTGGGGGCGGCCACGCCCACGCACGCTTGTGCGCATGCTTGTTCCCTCAGAACCCGGAAGTGCGAGGGAGAGGACAGCCACGTGGGTTGAGCTGCAGCGCAGCTCGCATGGGGGAGTCTATCCCGCTGGCCGCCCCGGTCCCCGTGGAACAGGCRGTGCTGGAGACGTTCTTCTCTCACCTGGGTATCTTCTCTTACGACAAGGCCAAGGACAATGTGGAGAAGGAACGGGAGGCCAACAAGAGCGCGGGGGGCAGCTGGCTGTCGCTGTTGGCGGCCTTGGCGCACCTGGCCGCGGCCGAGAAGGTCTATCACAGCCTCACCTACCTGGGGCAGAAACTAGGTACCTCCGCCCCGCCCCCGTGCCCCTTGAGGAGGAAGGAAAGGGGGTACATTCCCCATTCGGCAGTGGCTTGGGTTTCTTGTCTCTGTCGCTCTCAGCGGCAGGCTCAACTCTGCATTCCCAGGTCTCCTCCCACTGTTCCTTTCCTACCCTGGCTTCCACAAACCCCGCCCATCGGCCTGCGTCGCAGATAGACCGACTGGGAGGATGTTCTTAGCAGGGCTGTGCYTCAAACCTATGGGTTTACCATTATGCCTCGTGCATGGATAGGTGCCATAAATGAGAAGTTAACCAAACTCCTATGTCCTCGTTCTTCCAACTAGTGACACTGCAGAGAAGCAAAACTTGGCAATATAACCAGATTGTGTTAATGAACACTATTTGGCCTATTAAGGGTAAGGCCCWGAGTGTTATGGATGGAGTCCAATACCGTCTTCCTAGTCAGTAATATTTAATGAATGAAGAACAGATGGATATTAGGCAGGGAAGGCAAGAAATATGCCGAACACTAGAAAGTGGACTTAGGAGGAAAGTGGTAAATGCTCTTAGCATTAGCACTCCATGTATCTCTTATGTCCAAAAATAGATGCAAAAGCAGATTCAACTCTTTTCAGTAGTAAATATATATATAAATATAAAATCTGAGTAGATATGGAAATAATAGATGTAAGAGCCAAAAACTGTGCATATAAAATACTTCTTAAGGTAATAAAGGTTTGAATTCTGGAGCTTTGGGATGTGTTAGTATTTGGCTTATTTTAACCTCTTTAATTATCAGATACACAGAGGGTCTGGTGAATGAAGGACACACATATACAATATAAGAAAGAAAGGTAAATTTGGGCGTAACTTCCATTTTTAAACCATATATTGTCTGATGGTGTCCATCTATTGAGCTTTTGGTACACACTTAAGGGACTGAGCTTTGAGATTCTTATGGTGTTGATATTCAAATATTTAGCATGTTAATTTGTTGGCAAACATGGGTCAGATAGTTTGAACTTGTATGATTTTTTTTCTCCTTTTTTTCCCCCACACTGGCATCTGGTAAATATGCAATTGCTATTACATGTTATTTCCCTTTTTACAGATTAACAAATTGTTTGTCATTGTGAGTACAAGAATTCAAACCTGAACTGCCTTTGAACTGTCAGATTGAGCTATCCTTACAATCTGTTAAAAATATGTATGTATGTCATCATTTATACATACTATGTTATATAGACATGTTTGTATGTGTATATATATGTTTATAAAAATGGGGGAGGATTCTGGCTATAATATTGAAGATAGTTAATATTCTGACAGTTTTGGTGGTTTTTTGACTCTCCCACCTATAAAGAATAGTGATTGATCCAAGTGTCATGATTCTTAAAACTTTTTTTAGCTCATCCTTGGGGATTTGATGAAAACTGTGTCCTTAATAACAAAAATATATATGTACACAAAATTTTACATATAATCTGATAGGGTGTGGTTGGATTTCCTAAAACCTATTTATGGACTTCAGTTTTTAAAAAATCTGGTATTCTAGTTGTACATTGTATGAACCAGGTTTTTATGTATACAGAAGTGGCTGCCCTATGTGTAAGAACATTTGTATGAGTCTTCTACTGTCTCTGACTTGGGCTCTCTGAAGTGGCCATTGTGTAAAGTGAAGAGTTCTGCTTGAACTCCAGTTGGAATGGATGAACCTGAGGGCTGTCCTTGAAATTGACCTACCCAGCAGTTCACACTATGAGACATGCCCAGGCACTGTTAAACTCCCAGGTGATGGCCTCACTTCTGAGTAAATATTCTGAAAATGGCGTGTTTAACTTTAGTACTTCATAACTTACATGTATAAGCAATAGTGCAGCAAATGTAAGTTATAGAATTTAAATTTTAACTTTGCGAATATCTTAGTTTTTTGTCCATATTTTTGAACATATGTGATGTCAGTGTAATTATAATAGGACCTCATGATTATTAGGTTGACTGTCAATTTTCTAAAAAATTCTGTGTTGCAATTTAAAACATTCTCATGTTCTGCAACTATTGTGCCAATTAGAATATTTATATGGTTTTATATTTAATTAGAATATTTATATGGTTTTCTTTATAAAGTAAAACAAAAAGTTTATGCATGCTTAAGTCTTTTTTTTTCAGCTTTATTGAGGAATAATTGACAAATAAAAATTGTATATATTTAACATGTTCAACTTGATGTTTTGATATACATAAACATTGTGAAATGATCACAGTTAAGCTAATTAATATATATWTATCACCTCACATGCTTTCTCTCTTTTTTGTGGTGAGAACAATTAAGATCTATTGTCTGAGCAAGTTCCAGATTAAAAAAAAAAAAGTGACCTATCTTGTGACTGATGTTTGTCTGAGGCTATAGCAGTGAACTCTGGTTATTGAAGCAAGTGGAAGCCTCTGAACAAATGACAGATTTGACAGAAGTCTTTTGTTCCTGTTGTGGCTCTGTTACTGAAAAACTTTGGGTGGACTCCTGGTCTTAGCACCTCTCTTTCCTTTGAGGGAAGAATAATACCTGTTTGGGAAGGATCAGTGATTAAAATGTGCTGATTCAGTGCCTGTGGAGGATTTTAGAAGGCCTTAATTTAGTTCCCTTTGTTTTGTTACTGGAGAATTACCTCAAATCTGATTGCTAAATTTGGCATAGTAGGAAATGATTTGAGAACTGATGTTTAAAAATTATCATTAGCAAGAAGTTGTAGAGTAAAATACAAAAGATGTTTTACATATTCCTTTTTAGTTGTTCATGGACCTTTATTTTATTTATTTATATGCAATGCTGATAATCAAACCTAGTGCTTCACRTGGTAGGCAAGTGCTTAAACACTGARCTACAACTCCAGCCCTACATAACTCCTTTAATATGCTTAAAAAATTTCAAGATGAACTGTTGGAATCTTGAAAAATATTAAACATTCATAACTAAAGCCTCCTAGGAATAATTCAAAACAATTATATTTTGTAAATTTAAAATAATGGAAAGAGAAATCAGGTGTTTCTTGTTTCCCAGTGTAGAGGAATACTAGGTCTGACTGGATATTCCAAACTAGGATAGATGAGAGTTTTTAAAAGAAATGCAATGGTTGTTTCTCTCTTTCTTATATTGATTTTAATTTGCTTGGTTTCACATACTGGTGGTGGATGTATATTGATAAGCTTTTAAAGATATTTGTTTTACGTAGTCCTTCCATTCCTCCAGAGAAGGGAAATCTGATGAAGGTAAGTATGTTTTTCAATGCAGAGTTAAAATTTTCACCAAGGCCACTTGTTTGATAGTGGAAGTGAGTACACAGTTAAGGTCAACTGGCTATTTGTCAAGTAGCAGTTTGTTATAGAGTTTTCAAAACTCAATAATATATTATTGGGAATTTTCTCATATCAGTTATAAGTTAAAGAGTCTAGCATTATTGAGCATGTATTTTCCAGGCATATTACAAGTAGTATTTCATTTTGTCTTTTTAACAGCTTTATTACTAGTTTTTTTTTGTTTTTTGAGTACCAGGGATTAAACTCAGGGCACTCAACCACTGAGCCACATCCCTAGCCCAATTTTGTATTTTGTTTAGAGACAGGATTTCACTGAGTTGCTTAGTGCCTTGCTTTTGCTGAGGCTGGCTTTGAACTCGTGATCCTCCTGCCTCAGCCTCCCAAGCTGCTGGGATTACAGGAATGCACCATGCATCCTGCTACTAATTTTATGTTAACTTTGAACAACAATAATTAAGGCTCTGAATGATAGGTAGTTTGAACATCACACAGCTTTTTAAGCTTGGGAGCTGGGATTTGAAACCAGGTCTTTCACACTTCCAAAGATTTGGGGGTTTATATGACACTTTTATTTCTTTCTTAACCTAAGAGATTTTGTCCTACACATGGGCACAGAGGCCTATTTATTCTTCTCATCACTCTAGAAAATCAGAACTAGACTGAAAATGGGCATGGGAGGAATACAGACCCTCCAGGGTACATTTACTGTATGAAATGCTAGTGTGATGATTGATCTACTTGTGTCATGTATTTGCACCTATTAGTAGGAGAAAAGGTGTGTGTTGTTCATTGYGTTTAGACAGTATCAGTAGTAGAGTTAATATTAAGAAGGGTTACCACCATTAAGTTTGTCCAGAATCAAGGATTCACAGAAGGTAGGACTTGGTTTTAAAACCTAGACTTAAGTTGAGTGTGGTAGCCTATACCTGCCCAGCTACTCAAGAGGCTAAGGTGGAAAGATTGCCTGGTCCCATGAATTTGAAACCAACCTGGGCAACATAGCTGGACCCAGTCTCAAAATAAACCTGGACTAAGAGTCTCCCAGGAAGCCAAACTTTTAGTTCCTAAATCGGAAAGGTCCTGGGTAAGCTGTGACAAGTTATTCACCCAACTTGGTAGTAAGGGATATTAAGATTCATTTCTTAGCCAGGCATGGTGCTGCATACCTATAATCCCAATAACTCGGGAAGCTAAGGCAGGAGGTTCACAAGGTTGAGTACAGACTGGGCACCTTAGACTCTTGTTTCGAAGAAAAGGGTGGGAGACTGGAGATTTAATTTAGTAGTGAAATATACCTGGGTTATATGCCTTAGCCTACTGTAAAAAAATAAAGCAAAACAAAAAAACACCCAAAACAAGAAAGATTCTTTTTTTTTTTTTGGTACTGGAGATTGAACCCAGGAATGATAAACCACTGAGCTACATCCCCAGCCATATATAACGTGTTATATATATATATATACACACACACACTCTCTCTCTCTCTATATATATATACATATATATATATATATATATATATATATATATAATTTTTTTTTTTTTTGAGAGATGATCTCACTAAGTTGCTTAGGGCCCTGCAACTTTTTTTTGCAAGTTTCTGAGGCTGGCTTTAAACTCACAATCCTCCTGCCTCAGCCTCTGGAGCTATTGGGATTACAGGCAGGCACTACCATGCCTGGCAAAGTTTTATTTCTTGAAGCATTAACTATGTAGTGAACTAAAAACAATATTGTGAAATAGTTTATTGTTAAGTGAGTATTTTACAAATGCCTTGATAAATGGTTTTCACCCTTATTTAATATGTATAGAATAATACATATAATTAACACTCTAGGTTTATCAACAGAAAATTTAAACTCACTGGTCTCTGAATTAAAAGAAAAATATTCCTATAAATCACTGTTTTAAACATGACCTGCTTCTAGCTCCTTGGTGCGGTGCTGAGTTGCTTAAGAAATTATCCACAAAGCTAACTTTATAATTAGAAATATAATTGATAATGTATAAATACAGAAGTAAATGGTATCTATGCTGTTTGATCCTTTTTGACTRTTGTGTAGGCTGTAGTTAGTCTTAGTTTCTGCTTATTTCATTTGGAATCTCTGAATTACAGCAGCAGCTACTTATAATTGCTTCATGATCTTAATAATTCAGAGGATGATGCTTATCATATCATAACCTATATTGTCAAGAGTGCTGAGATTTTCTTTTTTCCCCTGACATCCCAGTAGGTATTCATGCATAAAAGGGATGTGTGTATTCCATTTTCTAGCACAGCCTAAAAACTAAGAGTCAAAGGAAATGCAACTCTAAAGCAGAAACAGAAAATTCTAATCTCCAGAAATAACAAAAGTGTTTAATAATTCAGGTGTTGTTTTTTTTTTATATATATTTATGTGGGGGGAGGGCTTTTTAGGTCCATATCAATGTTATTTTGTAGGTTAATTGTGCTCTTAAATAAATCTGAATGCTTATTGAAATGGAGTGGTAGAATGGGGAGAATTGGAATGTGGGTGAAAAAAATCCTGTATGGGTCCACTGCTACACCGATGAATTGCACAATACATTCAATTAACTTATTCCTCAGTGAAATTATGAATCATAAAATATTTGTAATTCAACCAAAAATCTGAAAATATGATAGATGTAAACTCATTGAGTTCTGTGGGTTCTGGTTCTTTCCTTTTGAATGCTGGGAGGTGATTGGCACTTATGTTTATCTTCTTTACCTGTCATGTGCTTATGTCCTTTGCCCRCCAGGGGGCCAGTCTTTCTTCAGTCGGAAGGATTCCATCCGCACCATCTATACTTCCCTGCATAATGAGCTGAAGAAGGTGGTGACTGGCCGTGGGGCCCTAGGTGGGACTGCACCTCATGTGGAAGAACTCCTGTCCCATCTGTCAGAGCAGCTCTGCTTCTTCGTTCAGGCTCGGATGGAGATTGCAGACTTCTATGAGAAGATGTACACACTTAGCACACAGAAATTCATCAACGCTGAAGAGCTTGTTGGCCTTTTGGACACCATCCTCAAGAAATACAGCTCCAGGTCAGTGTAGGGCAGAAGGGAGGGAGAAAATGTGGCAGCCCTTTCATTACCACATAGGTTCTGATTTTTTTTCACACTAAGATCTATGGAGAAATAACTATATTCCATTTTATTTATATTAATTAATCAACAGGAATAGATTAGGCACCTTTGAGCTTAGTTAACACCATGTTGGACGGATACTTCTCTAAGCAATAGCAAAAATTGAGAATGAAGTAATTCTTTAAAGTTGTATGATAAATTGATTTTGCTGCTTATGAAATAGTTCTAAGAGTAAGGGAACTATATATAAAGTAATGTGACTTTTTAACATACATATTTTTAACATAACATATTTTTTAACATAACATATTGTCCTTTTCAAATTAATCAGCTAAGTYGTTACTCTGATGTAGCAATTACTAACATGTGTTGGGATCTCCTTTGTAATTTCTTTCAGAGTCATATATAGTTTTGTTTTGTTTTTTGTTTTCAAACTTCCTTAGTGTAGGCAAGCATCTATTTCTGAGGAGGCATACTTAATTTTTTTTTGATAACTAAAAAGTTGTTTGGAGGAGAATATTAAGTTTTKTTTTTTTTTTAAAGATGTTGACCAATTGTAAAATTGCTTTTGTTTGAAGGATATTGCTTTTCTACAGAAATGAGACCAGTTATGTTGCATTGCTCACTGCAAAATGGCCCAAAGTGTAATACCAAAAGAATTTTAGAAGCACTGTGAATATCACTGAAGCAAATAACCAAATTTTATTTTGCTTCCTTGAAGCCTGGCATAGTGCCTTGTACATAATAGCAACTAGATAATTGTATATTGGAATGATTGGAGAGTGATTTCTTTGAAGAATGCCACCCTTTGGATATATGAATTCAGATATGTTTGCTTAAAAAAGAAAGGTGGATTTTTTTTTTTTTATTATTGTGTATTACTTTTAATTTCAAGCAAAATAAATATCTTATAAGTTCAGGGAGAAAATCTTGATTACCTTGAAGTGAAAATAATTAGAGCATCAGTTTTTTCTTTTCTTAATTTTGAACTCTAGAAGAAAATGCCCAAGAGCTTGTTCCTGGGTCTGGGGGCTATTGTACACATGAGAAAATTGCAGAAAAACATCCCATTAGAAGCAAATATTAATGTTCATCCACACTGTCCTGCCTAAAACASTGATGTAATGAATCCTTCTACCTTACCAAGTAAAGACTTGAAAAATAAAAAGCCCAAAACATGAGGAGATATCATACATAAGAAATGGCAAAGAATACTGTAAGGTAAATGTGGACCTGAGAAGAAAGACCAGGCTCACAAAGCAATGATCAAAGGATGTTTTGGTGACAGGGACAGTCTGTTTATACCCCACTAAAATTTAATATATCTATTACCAAATACGCATTGTGCACCTGGTATCTGCCTAAAATAATGTGCTCACTACCACATCATTCTCTCAATAACCTTGATAATGAGGCAGTAGGTGCTTAGTAGATGTTTGCTGAATGAATCAGTACATAGCTTTTATCCTGTTTGAGAGTTTATACTTTAAAGTAATGGGTAACTATGAAAAGTTTTTTGAACAGGGAAGTATAATACCCTTATCTTTACCTTAGACTAATTACTGTGGCACTGGAGTGTGTAATGGGATGGTGAAGATAGTGATTGCAGAAGGAAAGGGTAGATAGTCCAATAAGTGGTAGTGGTTCCACATTGTTGCAAGACAATAGGAAACAAGCTGATGACCAGAAGTCTACAAGTCTTGGCTGTCAAAGATGATTTGGAGCTTTGCTCCACCAATAATAATATCATTTACAGGACTGAGAAGACAAGAAGGGGAGAAGTTTAGAAAGAAAAGCAAAAATTCAGGGCAAGTTGTGTTGGAGTTGCTACAGATTTTCAAGTAGAGACTCAGCAGGCAGTTGAAAATTAGGGTCTAGGGCTCAGATGAAAGGCTAGAATTGGAGAAAACAATTTGAAAGWAGCCTCATGCATTTCTTTCTGTTTCAAAACTAAAATGTCAATGTTTCTTTAATAAAGCGGCAATTGATTCTACAGCTTATATAAATGGAGGGTGGGAATATTTATTTATTTATTTATTAAGGAATCTGGCATATATTGAGCAACTACTGTGTGACAGACACTATGGTATATATTATATATTATCTGATTTAAATCTTAGGTGTAGATAATGCTCCTTGTAWGAAATCTCATAGAAGTTAAGCACCCTTCCCCCTCTTCTGCCTTTAGAATCATATTCTTTTTGTTTTTCTATTTTTCTTTTTGGAGCTAGTGATTAATCTCAAGTCCTTCTGCATRCTAAGTGTGCACTATACCACTGAACCACATCCTAAATAGAGCTTATATTCTTTTATGATGCATCGTTGCTTGTATAAAATATTGAGATATTTCTTATTTTCCAAATAAGTAATTTCCCTCCATTGATCATTTTGCAAGTCACTAAATAAAATTGGTTCTTCAGGAGTCATGGTAAGCACTTACTACCTTCCTCTGTTAAGAATAAGAGTTGTGTATTACATAGAATCATGTAATGTCCATATTTTGTCAGAGCACAAGATGATTTGGTTAATATATTTTTAAGTTTTAGTATTTCCCTTTTTTTTTTTTGAGGGGGGACACCCAGGATTGAACTCAGCCTTATTTTGTATATTATTTTAGAGACATGGTCTCACTGAGTTGCTTAGCTCTTTGCTTTTGCCAAGGCTGGCTTTGAACTTGTGATCCTCCTGCCTTAGCCTTCTGATCCACTGGGATTATAGCTGTAAGCTTATTATTYCTTTTCTTTTCTTGTGCTTATTATTTCTTTATGAAGTTTTCCCCTAATTTTTTATTTTGAGTTTTTAATTCAATAGAAAAATTGCAGGCATAGTATGGTGAACACAATTACCATATGACCAGCAATTCTACTCTGAGGTATACACCCAAGAAAAATTGATTGTGATGATGGTTGCATAATTCTATGAAAATGCTAAACCATTTAATTATATACTCTTAATGGGTGAATTTTATGGTATATTTATGGTACATGAATGAAATACTAGTAAAGCTGTTACTAAAAATCAAACAGTTGTGCAATGCACATATAAATATCTCTTTTAATTTMTATATTGTTAAAATTTTCCATGTTTGTTTTCTCTCTGTATATAATTTTATTATTGTTTAGAAGTAAGAGGCAATCATCTTGTATCTTACTTCCAAACAACAATTAAATTATGTACAAGAGATAGAAGTAATCGAGGTGAGGGATGAAGGCAGTGGCAGATCACTTGCCTAGCATGTGCAAGGCTTAGGTTTCAAACWTCAGTACTGCAAAACAAATCAAATTTTATCTGATAAATATATATTATATGATGATAGAAAACCAGCATTGGGCTGGGGTTGTGGCTCAGTGGTAGAGCGCTTGCCTATCATGTTTGAAGCATTGGGTTTGATCCTCAGCACCAAATAAAAATAAATAAATAAAATGAAGGTATTGTGTTCATCTACAACTAAAAAAAAWTTTTTTTAAAGATAAAAGAAAACCAGTGTTGATGGTGTATATCTATGATCCCAGCTACTCAGGAGGCTGAGACAAGGGGATTGCAAATTCAAGAGTAGCCTTGGCAACCTAGGCAAGAACCTTGTCTCAAAGTTTAAAAAAAAAAAAAAAAAGAAGAAGAAGAAGAAAATCAGTGTTGAATTTCCTGAGTATAAAAACTCTGTTATGTTTACATATGCTTCTTAGAACATGGAATAGATTTCTATAGATTTAAATAGATTTTATCTTTTATAAAGATGTGATGCTGTAATCATATAGTTCATATTCACAATTCCCCAGGTATCCCACAGATGTCTTTTATAGTTGGTTTTTATTTTTTAATATTCATATCTCTTTGGTCTGTATGACAGTTCTAAAKTTTCTTTTTATTATTGTTCAGTAGGTAATATGACTCACAATGAATAAAGTACCAAAGAACATATAGTATAGTGTTTCTCCTGCCCCTGAATATTAGCCCTCTAAAGGGGCAGCTGAAGTTAATGAGTTCTGTTATTCCTGAGACACAGTCTATGCCTACAAATATATTCACTTTCTTTTTTTAAACATTTACAAATTTCATACTTTTTTAGAATATTCATTTATTTACTTCTTCCATGAATCTGATTAATACAGATTTTCTTTTAGTAAAATGATTTTTTTTGCAAACCAAAAACTTAAGTGTAATTGGGAATATGATACTAAGAGGAAGAAATGTCATGCAGAGATGTCCAAATGCTAAGGTGAAGTGGTTTGCAGAAATATTTGGGAAGCTTAAGAAAAATACCCACTCCTGGCCCTTTTCCTTTTCCCCAAGAGAGTAAAATTTAATGTTTCTGTCCAGAAGCCTGTGTTTTCAGACTTCTCAGTGATACTGATACATAGTTGTACAATAAATAAGAGAAAGATGTCAACTCATCTACTGGGTATTGAGCCTTAGTATTGTGAATGCATGTGTGTATCTCCTATGAGTGATTATTGTTATTTAGCCATTTTCATTTCATTAGATTTTTAATCTGTCATCTTTGAACCTTCTTGGAAAAACTCCATTTTCCAGAGACTTATAAATTTCACCCTTTTCTGATGAAAGCCCAGATTTCATTCTTGAAACTCTTAGGGTGGTTGCTTAGTTGTACCTCTCATCTTTTGAGTGGATGTCGAAGGAATCTGATGGAACTGAATTGYAGTATAGTGTATGGCCAATAGATGTTTTCTCCTCTAGTCTCTTTTACCCATGTTACCTTTCTCTAATTAAAAAGGAATTTATGATCACAGACACATTCTAGCCTGAAAATAGTCTAAGTTAGGGAGTTTGGGTTAATTTGAACAACATAAATTCCTTAGTAAAGAAATTCTAAGAAGTTAAGATTCTATTGACTTTCTTTGGGAAGTAGGATTAATTAGGTATAAATTAACATGGTTTACATTGTTAACAAGGTTAACATCCTTTTTTTCTATAAGCTTTTTTGATTTAGCATCTGTACC